AACTAATTATATGTTTTAATAGACTCCAAAAAGGAATAATTTCATCAAGTGTTAAAAAAAGTTAAAAAATATCAATGTTACATAACCCTAATGGAATATCCCTACCCCTATGTAACGCAGCGTAACGCTGCCTCAAACCCCCTCCCCTACTCAGAGTTACGTAATTTATGGACGTCGCCTTGACACATTTTTTTCATTTATTATCACACCGGCAAAATACCCGCCGTTGCCAGGGCTTTCTTCATATCCAATCCCTGTGAAAGAGGAAAAAGATCAATTTTATATAAACCGCGGAGATTATGATTATTATTTTCAATGTATTTGGTTTAAATTTTAATACAATATACTTTGTTCTATTTTACAAGACATTGCTTCTAATTTGACATAGTATCCTCTGCTTTCCTCACGGTCTCAAAGTGATTTCTTAGAAATCCCTTTTCTACAAATACATTTTTCAAGAAAATTTTCTACTTTATAATAAAATGTTTCAATACGTTTCTACGTAAGTAAAAATGTAATACATAGAATTTATTTTAAAAACGTATCAACAAACGAGAGGCCGATAGTATTTTGTAGTGTTTCAATATATATTAACGTAATTATTATACATCTAATATTAACCTAATTAATATGTTAACTCCAATGCCAGCAAGCAGCTCGGACTTGAAACTACATGAGATCAGAATCGCATGTATTGCACATGTAAAATACATAAATGACCCATGAACTTCACGTTGACCGTGAGAATTTCGCGCACTCCACCTGCGGTGTATTACAAAAACTACTACCGTGCAAACGTATCATCTATATTATTTCAGTAGTATTCCGTACATACCTTTTATAGCTCTCACAAACGACCGAACGTTATAAATGAGGTCTCTAAAGAAAGAGAATTTGATGGAGACGTAACGAATTGCACTTTGACTCTAAGAATGTGAAGGATTTAAAAAAAAAAGAAAAAAAGAAAAAATACGCTTATAAATATTCATGTCAAATGCAACCCGCAGCGTTCAGTCAGCTATATCGTTAAATAACCCCTAAAGAAAGCGCTCTAGTCCTCTAAGTAACATTCCTCACACAGTAATCTATAGGATGAGATATTCTTGTACATTCTATTAAATGTTTGATGATTCGGCACTTATCGTTACTACCAATGCCCCCCTGGATTTCAACCCTTGGTGAAGGTGGCCATCTTTGTGACGTCACGCTTAGAAGGCTGAGATTCCTCTATCTTATACTATTTACGCTTTCCGTGTACACAGTGGTTTGCGCAAAAGGAGGAGGTTATTTGAATAATTATTAAATCAAGATTCGCTCTCGCAGTAACAACTAGAAGTACTTCTAACAGTTACTTGATACTGACGAAGATTGTTTCTTATGCGGTTAGTGAAAACATTCATTTAACATTTTGTCGAGGTCTACAAGTGCTGTGTACCTAATTGTGGATGGATGTGGGTGTGCAGCGAAGAGTGAAGACGTGTCCTGTTAGGTTTGGTTTGCTCTACCTTCGCAGTGGTTCGGTGAAACTTTCAAGTCAGCGTGTTCAGTTGCATAGCTATCTCACGAGTAAAAAGCTTTTTTAATATTTTTGTGACTATCACGAAAAGTGAAAAGCTAACTGTCAAATATTATTGAATAATTACTTCAAATATTTTTAAGGAAGTTTTGAGAATTGTTCCAAGAAATCTCTCGATAATAGTTAATAAATCTTTAGTGAAAATTTATTTTCCATATCATGCATTTTTTTAAAGTTGATATTGTGTTAGTACAATGGAAGTTACATTTATACATTTGTAAACAAATAAATACGTTTCGTTAACAAATTACCCTCTTAGAATGTAAAGAGAAGAATATGGATGAGTGTGGGATTTAGCATGCGAGAGTTCTCGCAAGGGTACGCGGAGGTAGTAGTGGAAAAGGTGTGGCATGGCACCAACAAAGAACAAACTATTTTAATTAACTCAACTGAATTAGCTTAAAATAAACAAACAACAAAAATCAAAACGCACGAGCCTACAATACTACGCGAATGAATTTTAAAAAAACAACCAAATTTAAAATTATTGAAAGAATAGCGCAAGTCATTCAACTGCCAACTGTCACAATCCAGACGCGCGATTTAAATATTAGCGGTATCTGGAAGCCTCTATATCAATGCCCATCTGTAAACTCATATTGTAAATAATACACCGATTGATATTAAACTTAAGGTGTTGGTTCGCTGAGATATTCAATACGTAAACATCGTTTGAGCAACATGGACATGTACCGAAGAGAAGACTAGCCTACTGAATTGTTTCTAATTGTCACATACGGTATTTATTACTCAAAGGTAAAAATAGTAGTTTTATTATTTTTTGGTTCGGAATTGCGTTTCTTGAGATACGCAAGAACGCAGTAAATAATCCAATATTGTTTAGTATTCAAATAATTTTTCAATTTTTGCACCCCAGCAAGCTGGTGACCTGTCCCTCCAAATCCCTCTCTGTTCCTCATAACAAATCCAGGAAAGTTAAATAAAATTGCAAAGAGTAGGGATGTACATGCCCGATCCTGTATTTTTGCAAGCAAAACTTTACTTGGCTTTCTCAAGAGTAAAAACCTTTTCTAATATTTTGTGTCTATCAAGGAAAACGAAAAGCTATCTGTCAAGGAAATTCAAATGTTTTTAAGGAAGTGTGAATAGTTCAATGAACATATCTCTATGTTACTGAATAAACCTTTATTGAAAATTTGTTTCCACAATCAATTGCATTGTTTTTATTTGTGTTTGATATTCTGAAAGTACATTAGAAGCTACATTTATAATTGTTTTAACAAATATACACGTTTCATTAAGAACTTTCCTTCTTAATTGAAAGGATAGGGAAATGAATAGGCAAAGAGAGGGAATTAACTAGCGAGAGTTCTCACACAGGTTTAATTTATTTTTTAGTTTTAGTATAATTTACTTTGTTTGTTAACAATTTGAAAGAAACAGTTAGCAATGGGTGTAGCATCATGTTCATTTAATCGTTTATCGATTATTATTTTAAAACCTAATAATATTATCATGTGATCTTGCGTACCGCTGCTGGCCTCTGGCAGAATATATTAGAAACCGATCTGCTCGTAGCGACAGACGAACCTACCGCTACTGGTCTCTGACGGATTATTAGGAACCAATCTGCTCTTCGCGACAGGCGAAACGTAATGATCTTGGTGCATCTGCCGACATAATATTAAATTATTTATTTTTCGCATTTGTGTTGCGTGAATATTTACCAAAGTTTTTAAGGATAGTGCATCAATCCTGAACAAGATCCCATAAAAATTTCATATGTATTCGTACACTACTTCTTGTGGTATCGATGCCGGTTATAAGTCGTTGATTTCACTCATTAGTATAGATTACAACGGTGACATTACACAAGCCATACGTGGTCCTCTCTATCACGTAAAATTTCGGGGGGGGGGGAGGCAGAGATGTGAATGCCAGTTTTGAGGAGAATTATACATATGACTTGGGTAGTCGGATGGAAAGGGATGCAATGTGTTTTTTTACGGTTGTTACGTTTAATTTTTTATATTAAGAAGCAGTAAGAAATGAAAGAATTATCTTGAAGGTGAGAAATCATGGGCGACAAACGTATGTTGGATAGTAGCAGATTTGAGTTACGAATTTCACGACAAGTTTAATTTTTACTGTAAATATGGTGGTAAATATTTATAGAATTTTTAAGTTATCAATAAAAAGTTTTCGGGAATAATTATTCTTAAACTAATGTGATAATGCTTAAAAAAGGAAACATTTGTTGGAGAAATACAAAATGCGAGCAGACGGATAGCAGATGAAAGGTACAGAAGGAGCGTAGGTAAAAAGAGCTGAACTTCGTTAAAGTACGAAGAACTTTTCATTTTTTTAAAGAATTTCAAGATATTGTTGAAAAACAAAGTTTGTCAATAGGTCAAAATTCAGGACTAGTCAATAAAAAGTCGATCTCGAATATTTCTTAAATAGTTCTAGGTAATGAGATGGAACATTCACTAAACGATCCATATCACACGGGCTTGTCAGTTGTACTTATTAGCTTTTTGACAGCAATTTTTATTTTGAAGGCATTGGACTAATGTGTCTGTTTCGTAAATGGAACACTACACGTTTTTACACAAATAGTTGGACTTTGTTCAAAAATTCATCAATAGCACATACGTTGGTTCGGGAGCCAAGAAAACGAGCGCAGATTATACTTCTCCTCCATACAACAAAATAAGTTTTTGGCGTTTTGACGAAAATGAATCACACGTGTCATTTTTTTTTTTGTAGACTTTTCAGTCTTTGAAGAGAGCGAATATCATACGCGGCAGCGCCATTATATGCGTATGCCGGAGCACATTGACTAGATGATTTAGCTAACAGCAAAAATGAAATTAGAATAAATGTACTCGATGTACTGGAAAATATTGAGGGGGGGGCATGTTCTCTTATCTCCCCATCAGCGACGCCTATGTGAGAACATAAGAGATGATGGCCGCGGAGGACGATTGGATGAAGAACCGAAAGAGAGTAGAGAAGAGAGAACATTTTTATTAGAGACCCCATATCTAAGAAAGCAATTGGATATTCATGTGGTGGAGAATGCAACATTTCTCTGAGCGCTTTGCTCCCAACCGCATGTAATCTCGCTGAACAATGTCAGTGGCCAACACAACAAGGTTATCTGGGAAGAGGGTCACAGTCCATCTGCGCTGACCCCAGCCGTCAACACAGCCCCCGCTCCCACTTCCGCCCCACTCCCTCCCTGTCTTGCCCCCAACCCCCCTCCACGCCCCCTCCTCTGCAACGTCGCCTCTGCCACCGACTCCCCGACATACGTCGCCACTTTAGCCCCTGACGTCACTGCCACCATCACCACCACTTTCTTCTCCATTCCCACCTTAATTTCTACTGCCAACACTAATATGACACTACCCCATCCCCACCACAACCATCATCTCTATCACCACCATAATCACTGCAACCTCCTCCATCACTACCTCCCTTGCGACCATCAGCACTTCTAGTACAATCATCACCCCCAGCCCCACCACCTCCACCATCACTTCCTTTACCACCTCTTTCTACTCCTTCTCCTCCTCCACTACCGCAATCCCCATCACTGCCGCCGTCGTCACTGCCACCGCCACCACCACCGTTACCTTCACCACCACCACCTCCTCCTCCATCTCCTTCGCTGACACCGTCCCCGCCGCCGCCGCCGCCGCTATCGCCACCGCCGCCTCCACCAGCGCCCCTCCGCTCCGCCTGGGCCGCGGAGTGCTCTCAGTGCTCTCAGCAGCCCGCGCGCGAGCGGACGCAGCTGCAGCGATGGCGCCCGTCGAGCGCTCGTGGCTCCGCGCGTGGGCGTGTGTGGTGGCGTGGGCGGGGGCGGCCGCGGCCGCCGGGCTGTGCTCGGACGGCGCCGCCTTCCACTCGCTCGTGGCCGGCTTGAACGCGTCGGGCCACTGGAGCGCCGCGCTCGACCTGCAGAAGGACGCGCGCCTGCAGCAGCCGCGCGCCGACGCCCTGCGCCTCGACGTGCGCCCCGCGGCCTCCCTCTGCGGCGACGTGCGCACCGTCGCCATGACGGTCGAGCTGCGAGGTAAGAGTCCGTCAGCGCCGACCGCACAAGAACGGGTTGAACGCGACGAGCGCTCGGAGTGAGTTCGGGAGATTCTTGCCGCGCGCGCTGCTTTCGTTCGAGCTCAATTCGGTCGCTGTCGGTCGCCGTCGGTCGCCGTCGGTCGCCGTCGGTCGCCGTCGGTCGCCGTCGGTCGCCGTCGGTCGCCGTCGGTCGCTGTGTCTTCGCTCCTTCATAATATTTTCAGTGGATTCTGAACTTCGAAAATTTTTTACGAACACATTAAGCATCCTTTACAACCGCGCATTTGCCGTTTACAAGTACGTTATTATGTACATTATTTGTATACATTATTGCATTTATGAGTACACGTGCTTCAAATGATGTCTTACAAAAGTTTCTCAAAACGTTTTCTGTGAAAATGAGCTCAAAATTCCTCATTTTCAGAAATGTTGAAACACCAATTTTAGGACAAAGGCTCCATTTTTTGAGCGGATATTGCTTAATATACTGAATAACACATATATCATTTCTACATAGTATTTGGTTTAAAATAAATAAATTGTCTCGTAAACTCAAATATTTTGTATCAAAATGAGCAAATTGCACATTTTCGGAAACGCTCAAACTACTACTACGCATTACGACCTGAGGAAAGTCGCAGAATGGCGACTGAAACGTCGGCACCTTCGCCATGGACGCGGCGTCACCCGGACAGCCAAGTAAATACTCTCAAACGACATTTTGCCTAAAACGGCTTTCTTAGTACTCAACGAAAATAGCCGTATAGAAGGAGGTTTTATTCTTTTATAATATTCTTAAAATCATGTTTCAGCACTACCATTATGGGACGGAAAAATTGACAAAAGCAAATTTAAAAAATGTAATTTGGGTGGCTGTATATGGCAGCGGGGAAGAGCGTTGGGCAAAACAATTATAAAACTAGTACGAGAAAGTCTGTGCCATTTGTTGCACTACTAGTTCAGTTCGTTTTATTTAATAAGCATTGCCCAGGAGCCCTTACCCAACGTCATGAAGGACAGGATTTGTAAAATAATCCACTGACGCGTTTATTCAAACAATTAAAAGTTATCTGAGTTAAGGGATTATGGTGACAGCGAGCGAGCGTGATCGGTCGCCGCCCATGAACGGTCTCTAGAGCTTGGTCGGAGGCGACGGTTGCAGAGAGCGCTAGATTTTTGGGTAGATAAGTAACATTTTTTCTATTCTTTGATTAGTGAAGTCACGTTCATCAGATTAAGTACTAAATTATCCAGTCTTTTTAAATTGACATCAAACTGAAAATGTACAGGAAAACCCATCTTTGATCATGGTTTTATTGACTGCTGAAAGCAATATGTTTTCAATAAAGTGCTGCTAGATGACAGGAAGCCGTTCGCTAACGAGCCGTTGGATTTCTGCAGAAATTAGATCTCTATTGAAGTGTTCTGGACATGGAGGGATGGCAGAAAATAGGGAGTTTTTGCGACACGAAGCATAACAGCAATCGACAGCACTATCGATCTGCGCTGGTGTAGTTTCGCATCACTTGTGCGTCTGCGCGTGCGGAGAATATCGGAGAAAATTCTCGAGCTGCCACTGCTAGGCTGAGAGCCTCTGGTCGACCACTGGCGGTACTAGTGTTTTTCCATAGAATCCAGAGCTCTTGTAAAACAGGCAGGTCACGACGCGACACGGGCAAAACAAAATCACGTACGGATTCAAAAATACGCACACAAGTGACGCTGCACAGCGAGATTTCAAATATACAGATTTATTTTTCATGGTAATTTGTTCGAACACACGAGACCAGCCACAGTCACTGACCTGCACTTGTCCAGTATAATGGATGGAGAACTGCTAATAAACTATTGGCTCGTGACGAGTTCCCTAACCACCGAGTCAATGCACAAACGACTAAATACAAATTAATTAGATGAGAAGAGATAAGAAGTTCTACAAAATGTGTAATAGGAAATGGATTCATAAATAAAGTTTATTCCACAGTATCTCACGCATCCTCCATTCTCCTGTCTCACCGACCACACTTCAAACACTCATTTTAGTATACACCGTAAAGTTTTCCGATTCAAATACGAATTTTCACAAAGATACAACACGTATGGTTTCGACAGTCCCATTTCCCCAACTGTTCGCGCCACGCCTCCTGTCGCGTCGCGTTTTTTTACGCGCTATTGCCGCTTGCTGAGCCCGACGCATCAAGGGGGGTCTGTTTCTGCGTTTACACGCTTCCTTTGGATGAACGATGCCGGAGTGTTAGCGCACGCGCGCACGGTCAGGGCGGTTCTGCCGCCACAAAAATCGCTCTTCCCAAGCGGACGTTTGCGCTAAACCTCGGGCGTCGTCGAAAGGGGAGCCGTGTAAAATTTGGTCTAACCGCTCCGCGTATGTGCGCGTCGCGAAACTTCCGACATCGGCAAAATGAAGGATGTAAATCGGGTTTAGTAGTGTGTAAAGCCAGTCTGAAGTGTGTAGATCTAGTCATTTGGAACATGCGTGCATCGCTAAACCTCCGACATTGTCAAAAGCAAGCGTGTTTAACGAGTCCAACGCACTGTTACGAAGGAAGTTTCAGTTGGGATATGGACAGAAAATTAAGGGTGAAGTAAAGGCTTAGTTTATAATGTTCGTACATCATCAAGAACACTAAAATAGGTAAACTATAGCATACCGTTGATTAACAAGTGAATCTCGCTATGTCCAAAACCCATGTTTTGAGGTAAATGTTGAATGAATTTGACGTTGATTATGTTAAATTTGTCTGCTCAATATCTTTTTGACGGAAAGGAGATTAAAACGGGAACTTTTACAGGTATTTTAATTAGTAATATTGCTTTTAACAATCAATAAAGTCAGGATCACACATGGTTTTTTCCTCTACATTTGCGTTTGTATACTGACGATAATGCACCGTAGGTTGTTTTAGAAATGCGTATATCTGCCTTTTTGAACGTGGACTTAGCAAATATATGCTACTGAATCACAGGTAGGATAATTTGTTGTACAACAAACTTCAGTTTATTATTACTTATATTTACTACTATTTATATCACTTACTATTATTTTTCCTGTAGCTACTCTCCCTCGTCGGACTGTGAATAGGTAGCACAACAAATTCGTTTGGGTCATTTCAATAAGTGTTATGTATATTGATTGTTCGTAATGTATTATATGTTCACGATATATTAACACCGGTGTTTTAATTTTGAACATCGATGTTTTGTCATATTACTACTTGGTGCACCTTTGATGGAAAGCCATGGGTGAACTATGTATATCGTATCCACCTTCAGGCAATGAGCTTCAGGAACCAATTCGCGTTACAATATTAGTGAGAATTTTAAATGTAGCGAGATACCAAAATTATTACTGTGATGCAAATCATTGTAACAGAATGTAGGAATCATTTCTTTTGAATATTGCATCATGTACACCTTCATAGTGTTATTTTAGGTTGGTCACTGTTACTTCATGCCAGTGCCACAATATTGTCACTTTGTGACTCTTTCAAAATGTTTCACAACACTTCTCGCACTCTCATCAATATGGCGGCCAGCGTCTGGTCTGGCTTTTCAAACATAGTGCCCGTGATGTGGTCACGTGCTTTTTAACGCAAACGCAGAAAGAGCGAAAATGGATGCGCCAGTGTAGCTCACCCACGTGTTTCTATCAGGAGCACATATACTGCGAATTATTCAATTCTGCCCCTGGCAGGTATCAGCTCTTGATGGTTTCATCTAATCGGGAGCTTGAACGTCACAATCGTGGCGTCACGATGGTGACGTTCAAGCTCCGGATAAGACAAAACCGTCAACAGCTGATACCTCCAATCGGAAGCTTGAACGTTACCATAGTGATGTCACTAAAATGACATTTAAGCTCCTGATTGGACGAAATCGTCAACAGATGATACCTCCAATCGGAAGCTTGAACGTACTATAGTGACGTCACTATGGTAACGTGTCAGCTCGCCAATTGGACGAAACTCGCAACAGCAGATACTCCCATCGGAAGCTTTTGAACGTCACTAATTAGTGACTGTAGCTATGGTAGTTCAAGATCCAATTGGACGAAAACCGTCAAACAGCAGATACCTCCATCGGAAGCTTTGACGTCACTATAGTGATGTCACTATGGTAACGTTCAAGCTGCTAATTGGACAAAACCGTCAACAGCTGATACCTTCCAGGGACAGAGTTGCGAACATCACTGTATACGCTGGTGTTTGTCCCGCAGGGTCGTCGCCCGTGATCCACATCGCGAGCACTCCCCCGCCCGACGCGTCGTCGGGCGCGCGCGCGGCGGCGCCTCCGGCCGAACTCGGGTACGCGCGCGCGCCGCCGTCGCCGGGCTTCTACAAGGTGCAGGCGCGGCGCGTCAACTGGCGCGAGGCGCAGGCGGCGTGCGAGGCCGAGGGCGCGCACCTGCTGGTGGTGGAGACGCCGCAGGAGGCGCAGGCCGTCGCCTTCCTGCTGCGCCAGCACGCGCCGCCCCACGCGCTCTCCCGGACGCTGCACGCCGGCTTCTTCGCCACCGACGCCGTCTACTTCTCCGTCTACGGTGCGCGGCGCCGCGTCGGCTCACCGGACGAGAGGCGGAATCGAACAGACTTCGATTTATTTCTACTGGCACTCGGCCTAAGTTAGCTGTTTCGGCGTCATCCAAGCGGGAGCTTCAACGACTCGATTGAAGGGGCGGATCCAGAGACAAATTTTGGGAGGGAAAATTCAAAATTATTTGGTCACATAAGTTATATTTCAGATTTTGTTGAAATTCGCAAGCTACGCCCAGCTCATGTAGCGATACGTTTTTATGCGTTTTAGTGATAATTCAAAAATATTATTTTTGGAAAGTTTCCTGACAAGTTAAAATTAATTGTTGCTGAAAAATTTTGGTGGGGGCAAATTTCTCTTATTTTCCTCCCCGTGAATAGTGATTTCACTATGTTTACTATGATGACGATTTAATGACACTGTAACAGCTGATTAAACGTCACGTGTCATTATAAATAAATAGAAGTCTACAGTAGAATTGCGTTATTCCGGAGTTTTCCTAATGGGAGATACCGAGCAATTCGAGATGAATAAAAGTCTGATTAGTGCCAAGTTAACCAAAGTAGCAAATGAGCAGCGATAATCGAGAGCTGGCTATTGACAGGTTGGCACTGCGCTGGAGATCACGTGTTCGGTGGTCGGTGCCCGTGACAGTTCCTGCTACATAGTTATGACCGATTCGCGCTCATTTGTTTCGTTCATTGTGCAGTGCATTCCTACAGTAGGCACGTTAATGTGTGTTCCTGTAAATTTAATAGTATCTGCAATATCTTTAATAATTTACGTGTCTGTAACTTTAGTGGAATCTGCACATTAAATTTGACTTAGTTTTATTTTCTAGTTTAAAGTTTCAGTATGGCTTTTTCCATTTCCGTGTTACACGTTTTTTTTAAATTCTAGACACTATCAGCCCCAATTGCTGGGATTATCGCGACTCTACTCTACTTATCACTGCAGCGCCTCTCACTATGAGGTCCTAGGGTTCGACTCCCGGCGGTAGTGACAAGCTTTTCGACACTAGCTACGTAGCTAGGTTGAATTCAGCCGCTATCTAAAGGAGAATTCCAGCCGCCGAGCGAGTTAGCCGGTAGTTTTCCGTGGTTTCTCCGATCACCTCCAGAGCATTGCCGTAACAACCAGACCATGGACCGCGTGCGATCTTTCCTTCCCATTGTTCTATCGTCACCCATAACGTACACTCGGGCATGCACCCCATTACTACACATGGTGGGAGACAGATCGAGAGGTTAGGCAGTGCCCCGTTTGTTGAAGATACGTGGTTGGAGAAAACCCAGCTAGTCGACGGTAGATTGGCGCCAGATCTTACTATTCAAGAATATCACCGCCAACTGCTGAGAAAAAAACATGCTCTACACTTAGGGGACTAATCAATAAAGCTATTGACGCGTTTGGGGACACACAATAATTAACCAATCATCCTATACCAACCCTGTAGGAAGCGTGAGCGCTCGTGTTGTGACGTTGATTGCAGGCTGCGAGCGTATTTAGGCTGCAACCTACAATCAAGGTCACAATGTGTTAAGGCTGCTGATGCATGTGTGGACAGGGAACAAAAAAGTTATTTATAAGACTTTTTTGATTGAGTAGTGATTCCGGTCGGATCAACGGCTAAGGTCATTAGTCTCGGAAGTGTAGTGCATGCTCTATCGCGGGAGATTGCGCTGATGGCGAGATTCGGCGTTGAAGTACATCGGGTTGCTGGTGGGAGGTACCTGGTTTCCTTAACCAGGTATCTCCTACCAAAGGGGCACTGCCTCAGCAGAGACAAACTCTCTGCGCCCGGCCGGTCTTCCGGCCTGGTTGGTAGTGTAGTGCATGTTAGTGTGTGTAAGGGAAATAGCATAAGGCAAGGAAAAGGAAGGAAAGATCGCACGCTGCCCGTGGCCCGTTTGTTAGAGTACTGCTTCGGCATTCGCTATGGTGTTGATCGGAGAAGCCACGGAAAATTACCGTTCAGAGCAGGCGGCCGCTAGAATTCTCCTCCAGACAGCGTTGAATTAGACCTAGCCGACAAGTTAGTGTCGCAAATCATGGCCCCATCGGAATTCGAACCCAAGATCCTTGCGGTCAAAGCCACCGCAGTGACAGTAGTTGGTACCCTGAGCCACATTTGTTGGTACTTTTTTTCGTGTAACATGTTATAAATGATACTCTGGTTTATTAGTTCCTTGTTATATCTTCAGCATTGAATCAATGGAGGAATCCGTTGGGCGCAGGAGTAGCGAGTGTATCCGGTGTTCCGCAGGCGAGCCCTTGAGCGACCTGCAGTACCAGCGCTGGGCGGCCGGCGAGCCGCGGCACGTGGACATCTGCGGCGCCGTGGACCACGCGGGCCAGCTGCACGACGCCTTCTGCAGCTGGAACGTGCGCCGCAGCTTCGTGTGCGAGTACGGCGGGCCGCCGGCGGGGGCTGCGCGCGGGGCGAGACGCGCCGTCCGCCACCCGCACCCCACCGCCACGCCCACCTCCGCCGCCCACGCCCCCGCCCCCGCCCCCACAGACAGCGCGCCCTTCACGCGCGTCGCCGGCGCGGGCTCCTTTCAGGTACGCGGCACACGAGGGCGCTTCTCGCAGGGCGGACCCGCACAGGTGGCTCAGAGCATCTAATGATGTTACTACGATCTCTCTTTCTGCCACCGTCGGGACTCTTAACATGGAGTAACGATGCCTCCTTAGTCTATGCTCGTACCCAAGGATCTTCCTAGGTTTCGAGCCCCCAACGATGGCACAGAGATAGGTGTCTGAGAGCATCAAATGATGTCACTGGAGTGTCTCTGAGCCACCTCTTTCGGTGCCACGGTCAGCACTCAAATCCTAGGACCTTCCTAGGGTCCCAGTCATGGCGGTTGTTCAGGGCATCAACTGATGTCACTGCAGGGCCTCTGATCGGGAGGTTCTGGGTTCGAGTCACGACGGTTACGCTAGACAGCTATGTCGAATTCAGTCGTTGTCTGGAGGACAATTCTAGCAGCCGCCTGCTCTAACCGGTGGTTTTCCGTGGTTTCTCCGATTAATACCAGGCGAAATTCGGAGCAGTGTCCTAACAAACAGGTCACGGACCCCCCGTAATCTTTCCTTCCCATTTCCCTGTCCTATCCTACCTCTTACTTACTCACACTTTCCCTTATATTCACTGTACAATTACACACGCTGGGAGACCTGTCAGACTTGTCTGGAGGTTACAGCTTCCCGGCTGGGATGGAACCCCGTTTGTGGGAGTACCTGGTTGGAGAATACTCCGCTGACCTATGGTAGGTCAGCGCTGAATCTCACTATCGAGTGACGAAACATAGCCGCCAGTATCATCAAAAAAAAATTATGTACTACACGTACGGGATTAATTACCTTAGCTGTTGACGAGCAGGAAATCACTTATCAACCAATCAAATCTGTTGAATGGTCTTATATTTTGGAGAATGAAAATATTCTCATTTTTCTATCGTGGTATTTTAAGGCCATGGTGACAAAACGGATCCTTCCTCTCTTATTTGACTGTTCTATTGTTCTTCGATTATCAAATTCATTGAGTGGTCCAATGAGAAAGCGGGAAGAATGTCATTAAGTCCACGGTAAAAACTTAAGCGTCCCGTAAAGGAATTTCTGATCCACTCACTCTGTTTAACTGCTCGTTTAGCCCTTCGATAAATGGTCCTTCAGTTAGGAGAGTGGAAAGGTTCTCACGAAGTGCTCGTTTAAAAAATATAATTTTATTTTCTTCGCCCTGTCATGTAAGAATGAAGGTGTTGTGCAGAGGAAAGACTCTTGATCCGTCAGAGAGGTAGAGCGTGAGGGTGAATGAAGAAGACAGAGAGAGGAGAGAGAGAGAGGAGACAGAGAAGAGAGAAAGAGAGGAACCAAGTTAACTAAGGAAAGCATCGCAGCACATTATCCCATCCCTCAACCGTTCTCCCCCGTAGTCGTATCTGAGTGCAGGAGTTGCTCATCTGAGATGTACCCGAACACTCACTAGATGAAAATCGAATTATTCATTCACTCATCTGAATAATTGAATATCCCTCGATAATTCCCCTTGCGCGGCTGCGCTCTGCGCCTTCTCTTGAAGTATACGAGTGTAGCGTAACGACAGCGTAGCGTGCTGAAGTATAGGAGTAGCGTAATGGCACGAGTGTGGGTCCGCCCGCTAACCTTTTTACCGCTCCCTTATTTCGCGAATAGACCAACTCGGCCCACGCGTGCATCCTGCTTCATCAGGTACATGCACATTTTCTGGGAGGGGATCAGCATTTGAGCTTAATCCCAATTTTTATCCCTTAAGGTTGTTACCTCTGGGGGTACGGACGATAACATGATGATGGTGCGGAATGAAAATACGTCACACGCACACACACACACACACACACACACATATATATATATATATATATATATA